TAGATGTCATAAAACCAAAACGATACATTGTTTTTTGTTTTTTTTGCATAAACAAAAGACATATGGATATAAACTCATAGATCTTACCCTGCATCAAGAAGTTCGAATCGAAGATATGTTGCATTATCCTCATAAGCATCGCTGTTTATCTCACAGAGATCACCCATCTTCAACACGGTTCCCATTACATCTATATCGAATACAAAAAAAAAAGTGATATTGACAAAACGATATATTATACTAAAATTGTCATAAAATTAACAGATGGTTACCAATATTACCAATTAAAAACTCAAAATCTAATCCGCGATCACGATGTCAAAGAAGCGTGTGCAATTGAGATGCAAGTGTAAATTATGGGTTACTGGAGAGATAGGAATCACGACCGTATGAGATCTGAAAATAAAACGATGCCTGTTTACGGTTATGCATATCGAACCACTGGCCTTCTTAACAACGAATCGACGAACCCTAAACCAGTAACCTTGTTTAAGTATAGGTCCATGCAGAGCGATTTCATCGGGCATGACAGTTGCGCCGATACGATGACCCTAAGATCGATTTCGCATAAGTTCAAGTGTAAAATCCAAAAGAAAAAATGCTTTTAAAAACAACCCTATGAAATATATAAAGAAATAACAACTACATAAGAAATACCCGATCATCAGCGAGAATCATCTCAATTGTATCACCAAAGAAATTTACATTATTCCAGAGTCGAACAACTTGCACACGAACTTCACCGCCGGTGGTGTAATAATCTAACCTAGAGATATCAACAACATGAGACATTTTTTTTTCTCTATCAAGAACACAAAAGGAAAAGTAAAACAAAAAATAAGAAAAGAGAACACATATATATATATATATATACGCGTTACATTCTAGACAGTTATTTCCTTTTCAACCCAATAAACTTATGGGAACATACAACATTGAATATGTATTTTTAAAATAAAGATTAATTTATTTATAGGTTTTGTTTTAAATGACAACAATTGTCTGTCAAAGGCGTCTTTTCATCCGTTAATGTAATTTTTCGAGACATTAGCAGCATGCAATATGAGAGAATAAAATCTAATTGCATCTGGTGTACTAAGCATACACGCAACCGAGATACGCGAGCATACCGAGTCAAAAATAATAAAAAAATACAATAGTTTCTTCAGTATACAATCATTACATCAAGCCAGTGAACATAATTTTCCTGGACAATATTTTAATAAAGCCAAAGAAACAGTTGGGGAGAAGGGTTACTTTGTTGTTTATTTTTAACAATGTATATGAGAAAATGAGGATATATATAACACCCAAATAACGGTTATGGAAAGTGTCGCGTGAATCAGTTCATTTTACGTATTTTTCAAAAGAAAAATGATCCATTTTTGGAAAGTTGCAACTTATGATGAATATTCTAAATAGATTATTAGTTAACACATTTTATTTGTTAAAGGGAGAGTCGAATTTTGGTTATAACACGAAATTTTTTGACCCAAAACAGTCTTGTAAATACAAAAAAAAAGTGTCTAACAAAACTAATAATATATATGGATTATCGATTTTGAATCATTCGAATCGGTCCAAACCATTAGACATCATCTGTATCCAGCCCATATAATCTCTCTCTAATCCTGAAATTTCAATAACAAAATCATGTTGATCTAAATATACATATATTTTTGTTTTCATAAGTCAATTTAAACAACACATCGAAATATACTTACCTATTTCGCAAGGTCAAAACTTCATCAATAGGTGAATCAGTGATAAAATGGGACACACCATCATCATCATGATCCTTGATAGACACATTCTCTAAAACATATATATTGGAATATTGTTATGTTATATACAACGATTTTATAAATAACATATTGATGTATCATCAGAGAACATACCCCCGTCAATTGCTACACACCAATCGGTTAACACACATATAGCAAAGGGACCTTCGTATTCTCTACACTTATCTCTTATTTCAGTTGCCAACTCACCATGTGCAACACATTCTAGCATGTACTCCCTATATTTTGACAAAGAATCTAGTTAATAATTAATTAGCTAAACTTCAAAATCCTACAGTTTGAGATATACTTACTCATCATCTATTATATTAAATCGAATTGATGATGTAGTCGTCCCATCCGAGTATGTAATAGTAAAATATCTAGCATCTTCAACGACTCCAATCAAATCTGTGATTGTAATTAGTCAAAATTAAGACATTAGTGCGAACTATAAATTTTGCATTATAAGAAGATACCAAAATATTCTTACCAATTAGATAATAATGAGCATCTGGGAATTCATAAATCGAGAGGAATGATGCAAAATTATAGAACGAATTATTTGTTAATGGTAAAGCTGGTGAGATCGTTGTTCCCTGTGTCAGTGTAATAACGTAATCGTGTTTTGTAATACTTGGGATATTAGTCCAGTTGTAAGGATTTAAAAGAAATCCAGTCAACATAAACCATTGATCTTCTTCGCATATTTAATTGAAATGCTCCATCATCTGATTGTTTACCCGAGCCTGTATTCTACAACCCTAGAAGTTTATACGATAACATTATATCAACAAAAGAAAAAATTATTGTATGTTAAAACAATAAGCAAAATCAACAATAATTATCACAAATAACATTTTAAGTTACTGAAATTTACTCTTTCATCGACCAGAATGAAATTTAGACTTCGATTATCGTCCGAGTAATCCACCACCCATTTTTTGAGTATTTTCTCTATAATTCTCCAGTCAGATCTTTGAGAGTCCAATTGACGAACAAAATCATAATCCGCCATTGCGTGATGCCTATCGTTTAGGGTTATACAATTTAGAGTATATTTATAAGAAAAAATGTGATTTTATATTAATATATAACCAAAAATTAAGAATATTAACATTTCAGGATAAATATAGATAAAGAAACAATATTATCTTCGAGTAAAATAAATAGATATATATATATATATATATATATTGAGATTTTTCTATTTTAAATTATGTTAATATTCCAATTCTCATTGTTAACAATTATTAAGATAGTTTACTATAAAACCATCTATATATGTTAAATGACAATTTTATTGCAATGAAAATTCACATTAGCTAAATCATAATCATGCACATCGTTTCGTATCTTCACCAAAGTCTGAAATTAATATTTAAACATATATGTAAACAATATAGTATCACAAAAAACTATATTAAGGGAGTAGGGTTAATGTCAAAATAATTATCTTACTTTGCCCGATGTGGTTTTGTCTGAATTATCTTTCTTTCTTATAAATTTATTTTCGTTTGAATTATTTTAAAAGAAAAAATTTGAATAGTTACCATTTAAAGCCCCTTTACTGTCAAAACCAACAACAATCCACTAATTATGTCAAGACACTTCCATATTGATATTGACCGATTTGTTCGTTTCACGTGCCTGGTAAGAGAATATATTCCATGTTTTAAGTTTCACCAAATATACACGCAATCTCAATAAGTAAATATACTATTTTACTAAATATAAACTTTTGCTAAATTGCAACACTTTCCATAAAATAATATGATCTCTCTCTATGGCTTATGTTATTTGAACAATTTTATGTTTCACTATTTTAGGAGATGACATATTCAACATCATAACAAAAAATGCCATTTATGTAGACTTTTACGTTATAACTTTATGTATCTACTTGAGCATTTTTTCCTTAAAGTTATATTGGAAAGTCAAACGGTTAGTTGCAAACATAAAGTCGCATAGTCTTCCCCATAAAAAAATTGAAAAATGTGAAAATTAATTATTATTGTACACCTTATAAATACTGAATTGATGGTTTCTTTTCAAAAAACTTTAAAATATTTTTCAAGTACCATTATCGTTTCTGAGAGAATTCATAAGAAGATGGCGAACACAAACGAAAAAAAATTCGATGAAAATGGCTTGTTGATCATCAATCCCCCACCATTGGTAATGAGATTTGGTGTCGTGGAACCAAACTCACCACCTTCACCAACAGATTCCGAGATAGAGCAAGAAGAATTATGGGAACAAATACACTTATTCACCGCATCAAATCAGAAAGCCAAACAGAACACTCCTCAGGTAATATATCCTATTTACTAAAGTTTGTTTTAATCATGTCTTACACAATGAATAATAAAATCTGTATATTCTACTTATGGAGGATGACAAAGGCAACACATCTAATGAGACATCCCAATAAAGTTGCACAAAACGAAAATACGACCTGATTCTAGATCTGGAGATAGGGTTAAAGTGCATGCGTTGCGGTTTTGTGGAGACAGAAATTCGACACATGGATACCGCCGAATGGGTACGTGATCAGAAACATATTTAGATCTAAATTATGAAAAATTGTCTAAAATCTATGTTATTGAGTCATTATAGTTTGTTATTGATTGCCCATTGAACTCTATGTTGTAGAAACAATTCATGTTTAAATATAATATTGAGTTAGTTCAAAGCTATATAGTTTTACAAAAATCTAAATCGGATTGTTTGTGTCTGTGTTTAAAGGGAAAGGAGAAGGAACGAAAAAAGAGGAGATCTGGAGTTTAATCAAGAACAATATCAGTTTCAAACCAAATTCATGTTTTTTTTTACTGTTTGTAATGATTACTTTAAAGACAGTATGTACTTGGTTTTATTTTCTAAAAACAATTAAGTTTATTTCGATGACATGATAATTTGGTTTTGAAGCATTCTCGATGAAATGTCAATAGATGCCCAATAATATGTTACAATTAAAGTTTGGTTAAAATATGTTATCGAATAGAGTTTGTCACTGAATTATCCGACTACAGTTAAAAATCAGAGATCAAACCATTAATACATGAGATCCAACTTAGTGAAAAATCGAAAAACGTTAAATCTATTAAAAACTATAAAACCGAATGTAATGGTCTTATACAATAAAAAGAACTAACATATTTCGAGATACATAGAGACAACATATCACAAAACAAAACACAGTAAAAAGAAATATCATATCTTATCAAAAACCTCCTTGTAGACGACATTCAATGTTTTGTTTTGTGGTTTGTTGTCTTTATCGGTGATCAATATCTTCAAACATTCTCTTGATGTAACCCTCGATACAGCGACATAGAGTTGCCCATGAGTAAAGACCGGTCTTGGAAGATACAAACCAACCTTTTCGAGTGTCTGTTCTTGGCTTTTGTTTATAGTCATTGCAAAAGCTAATGGGATAGGAAACTGCTTGCATCTCATCCTGAAAGGAAGTTTCATCTCCGAAGGAGAGAGGAATATCCTAGGAATCAGTACTTTTTCACCAACCTTGCTACCTGTTATTATCTGAGTCTGGAGAACATAATTAGCCATCTTAATAATGATGAGTCTTGTGCCATTACACAACCCATTCTTAGGGTCGATATTTCTTAGAAGCATTACACGAGTACCCTCTCTCAACTTCAGGACATGATTAGGGAAACCAGACATCTTGATACTATTTAAAAACTCCTCGGTATAAATCATGTTGTTGGAATCACCTTTATTCTTACTGGCTACACTCTCTGAGGGTACTTCAGATGCATCATTGTAATTGACAACTTCTTCAGTCGTATCAATGTTATCACAGCTAAGATAGGTCCTTTCAACACCTGTTATATACAAAACAAACGTCGTATTATATAAATATAAACAAATAAACTAAGAGGAATTAAAACAAAATAAACATACCCGATAACTTTGAAAGCATATAATCATTTATCGTATCTACATCATCGTTTCTTGGACTCAGTATGGCACGGTCTTGGAAAAATTTAGGATCAGTCTTTTTCGAAAACGAACTCCCATAAATTTCTTTGACGATCGTTTTTATAGGATCTTTACAGTCTTTAATCAACAGATCATTAGGAATATCAATCACGGCTTCACCACTACCATCGTCATTTATCGTACCATCACCAATGTCTAAGATCCACTTTGTAAAGGCAGCTCGTTCAAGCATCGCACGGCTATTATCTCCAGATATAAGTCGCATGTTCTGTGTAAGTCTCAACACTCTACATTTGTGCCACAGAGGTGACGAATTCAAAGTGGCCATAAGTATCTCTGTCTTCCCGGCATTTGGAATCACTGGCAATATTTGCCTAAAATCCCCTCCTAAAACAATGACCTTATCACCAAAGGGCTTATCAACTTCTAATATATCACGCATCGTTCTATCTAGAGTCTCGAAACAGTCTTTACTCATCATCAACGCCTCGTCCCATATAATGAGTTTAGCAATCCTTATCAGGTCGGCAAGATTCGACTCCTTCTTGATTGAACAGAAGGTAAACTTATTAACCACAATAGGGATTGCAAATCTTGAATGCGCAGTTCGGCCTCCTTCTAATAACAACGCAGCAATCCCGCTCGATGCAACCTTGAGAACAACATCACCTTGGGAACGTAGAGCAGATCCTAATAGACTCCACAAATAAGGTTTACCAGTACCTCCAGAACCATAAACAACGAACATACCTCCTTTGTTCTTATTTACTGCTTCTAGTATCTCATCATAAACACTTCTCTGTTCACTTGTTACAGTGGCTAACATCTGCTCGTTTCTTACTCTAAGAGTTTCACGATTGTAATTCCTCTCATCCCGAATAAGAGGATTATCACGTGACTCCAGAGTAATATCTTCAGGAAACGGCATAGGTGTGAATTCTTTTAAGGATCCCACTTACACGTAAAAGAAGTTCTATTTCGACCAGAGTAAAGTCTTTAACTTGCTCCTGAGATAGACTAACAGCTACACAATTTCAAAAAAGTTACAAAAGATAAATTAGCTATCAATATCTTAAAGATATATAATAACAACAACGCAAACAATAACTATACGACTTACTTTGATCCCTGGCAGCTTTTCTGTAATTATATATGACGTCATCTGATAATACCTGCCACGTAGCATCCCAAACTCTAGAAGGAATGGATATACTTTGAGTAGTGAGCAGGATCACAAAAAGACGACGGAGATAATTGGCAGAAAGCCACAAGCCGCCCTCATTGATGGTCTCAATATATTCTTTGTCATCATTCAATAATCCATACGCATAGCAAGCGTCTTTGAACGAAGAATGTAGAACTTTGTTGACCGTTTTTATATCATCAAAACTACGTGGTCCTTTGACTAAATTAAGCAGAAGCCTTAAATAATACGCTTCACCTGCCCCAATGGGTACGTACGTGATTCTACCAAGAGCAACTCTCCTTGATCGTGGCGTCCATATTCTCTTTGTGTTATTCCACACAAATCTCGTAGGAAATTGCGCATAAGTTAACGTCCTCGCCAATTCATACATATCGTTGCATTCCATCCAAGCAATGAATTTTGACGTACCAACTGAGACACGATTAATAACCTCGTCACCTGGATCATCCTCGTTGTATATGACCATTTGCTGATTCGGTAAATGAAAGGGTAGTTTAATTACAGAAACCGTGCGATGGTGAGTATGATTACGGAAAATTCTCCACGTAGACTCCGAAGGTGCTACATACCTACATAGAAAGACATTATTAAATAATGGAAGATTCGAATTTCAAAGATATAAAATATGTGAACAAAATGTTTAAACCATACCTACAATTGAAGTGTTTCTTAATCTCGTTTTCTTTATCATCATTCTTGACAGTTGCACGAATGTAGTCAGCACATTTATGAATATATTTGAATAGATACTTTACTGATCGAGATTGTACACACCATTCGACGTTGATATGAGCCCTATAAAGCAGTGTGAGACTCTTATTATAAGGAACCACAAATCCATTATCACATTCAATACCCTTTTTAACGATAACTTTCTTGTCATTACGTCGCCTGTATATAGGATATCCAACATCATCTATTTTAGTGATCGGACTGTAAGGTTTTGGAAAATACTTTGTACATTTTCCTTCAGCCATGCAAACACTATCCTTATTCAAAGCACCACATAGACCATGCATCATAACATCTCCTACTATCTCATACAGCGCTGGATCAATATCCTTGTCAGGAATCTCAGCACATATTATCTTATCAATGTCATCACCAGTTGGTAGCTTGTGACCAGCTTCTAAAAAAAGAACGATGTGTGCATGAGGTAGCCCCCGTTTTTGAAACTCAATCGTGTAGATCGCTGCAACGAATAAATGGTAGTTTTTAAAAGATTAGTTAGCATGATCATCTAGCAATGTTATGGACATTATATTGCTAAACGAAATAAGATACTTAGTTTAATAAAACATAACCGCTTTTACGACACCTAACACATTTTCTTTGGTGAGCTTGTGCATGAGATCATCTAGTTTCATCTTGAACACTCGCGTACATATATCTGGTCTATCCTCTTGCTTCAAGTTATGTCTTTTTAGGTGCCTGGTAATCTCAGGCCATTTGGGATTACACGTAAAAGTTATGAAAATATCCGGAAAACCAAAATGCTGGCAAGTAGTCATCGCATCTAGATAGTGTTGCACCATATACCTTGTACCACCAGTATAAGAAGAAGGTATAATAATACGTTTACCCTTGTCAGAAAGATCAGTGTCACCTCCATCAACAGTTTTCTTTATTTTGTCATAATTTTCGCAACGAAGTTTAGACTGATTCATTGATATGAAACGTAGTCTATTAGTCTCAATCATCGTGTACGCATCCACTAAAAACTGCTGGAACAATCTTCCAGATAAAGGGATGATTGGTGACTCACCAACCCTCTCTTGTATGCGGTAAGCAAAAAACTCTCTCATAGTAATATGCAACCTTTTCCTCCCTTGAGTATCTACAAAACCAATATCGATACCAAGTCTGAACCCGTCCTCACCATAGGGAAACAATAATGGATATTGCAAAGGCAGATACGCAGGATGTAGTTCACTGATCCTTTTGAGATTCCCAGTCTTTTTACACTCGATGATGATATCACGTGCATCTACCGCACCATTGAAATCATTAGGTATCAATGCAGCAACTTCATTAGTAGCTGGTAGATTCTCAGTCCTTCCATCGCTTTTCCTGTCACACTTTAAAATTATCCTTAACCGGCTTGTATCATCGTTAGGATCAAACCTTTCTCGAACGTTTCGTAATGCATCCACATGTTTGTTATGTTTATCTAGCATATTTTTTATTTTCTCAACAACCTTCACTCGTAATTTATCAGCCGGTCCCGTTTTCCTGTAAAATTTTTAAAATAAATTCTTATAAGAGTTAGAACCATATAACATTTAATAACAATACATATATGTTTCAAAATCGATCTCAATGATTAAATTTAATATAAACCAAAAGAATAATAATCATACCCACAAGCAGCTATTCGGTTAGATGTTTCATTTGCGGTATCATATATATATAGCTGTAAAAAAGCTGGTTCTTTTCCAGGAGGTGGTAGCAACTCCCCTATAGAATGGTAGTTCTCCCCACTCATTTGGAAAATGTAAGGACCTTTCCCGTCGTTGATTTCTTTATTTATTTTTCCTCCAAGAGAAGTGAAAGAAAACATCATATTATACGCCCGGATAAACTCACGAAAGTGATCACGCAAATCACCATCATTATACATCAATGCTAATAAGGATTTCGGAGGGGTTTTAAGAAGTGGAAGAACGACTTTACCCTGACCACAACACATGGAGAATATAGGCTTCCCACGACGATATCGTTTACCCAACCTCTCTCCATACCACATATAAGCCTTACAATTACCATATATATATATAGGATCACCATCGTCGTAATAACCTAATTAAAATAATATTCATTGCTTAGTGTTAATTACACAGTAGTTATATATTATGTATTGAATGAAATATATTAGTACAATGAAAACCATAACCTCCATCTTTCAGACCAGGACTAACTGATTCCAATAAATCTGTTCTAGTAACAACGGTCTCTGTTGCATCCCCATCACCAAATTCAGAGGTTTTAGCACGTTTTTTGGGTCTTCCTTTCTTTTTATTATCAGGCCTCGATTTTTCCACATCCTCACTTTCCGACATAGAGTCTTCATCATTATCCATATCGGACTCAGAATCAGTAGCAATAAAGCAAGCAAACTCTTCAGTGTTGATAGAAGTAGCCAAAAGATCTGTTTGTTTTTTTTACGGAAAAAATAATAAGTGAAAATCAGGCATATAATTATTAATAAACATTGTAATTACGAAAAAGAAGATCAAACCAATAGCTTCTTTTCTTTTTTTCCTCTCACGCATGATATGCATTCGTCTCTGTTGTGCATTACGAATTCCCGAGGGTGTTAGATCAGGAACTTCATTGATATTGTAACCGAACAAACCTCCATGTTGGTCTATATCGGTTACACTGGTAGGAGCATATCGTGCGTTCTTAGCATTACCACCTACAAATTATAATTAATAGTAAGCAAATTTATAACACGTAAATGTCTTAAAAATGTAATTTACTTAAAAAAAACACCTTTATTTGGAGCAATCAACGAAGATGAACCTTTTTTCTGAGGACGCCCAAGCTTACGTTTCATTTTTCTGGTGAACAGCACAAACAAAAAAAAAAAAATGTGTGATCAAAATACACAATCATTAACAAACTATATATATGAAATATTATATTGCGCGATAATGCAAAATATACATTTTAGCTTTTCATAATAAATTAAGATTTTGGTAATAAAAAGGATTTCGAAATAGAAAAACGCACGATAATGTTAACATTACTTATTCTTCGCGATAATATGCCTATCTTCTCTAATATCGAAAATTTACATTTTTCGTGATAATGTTAAAATACTATTGAAATACTTCTACATTACAATAACGCAGATCTATAAATAATTATTTATTATTCCAAATATGCAGATTTAATCCTAAAAATATATCTCTACATTACAACAAATATATTATCCTAATATTTTACGAAAACCGAAAAGACTATCGTTATATTTCTTAGAAATTGAATATTCTCCCAAAAATATAGAATTTAACATATCATCCAATAAATTATATCACATATATTTTTTCCAGTGGACAATTATACTACAATTCGTTACGCAGGCGTTTTGGGGATAACTATGAACATCGAAATCCATACATGAAAATAATAATTAAAAAATCTTATTTTCATACACTGCGTCAAAAGTCAAGTTTTATTCAAATCACATACGATGTTTAACACAAACCAAAAAACCTAAAAATAAAAATTGATATAAAATAATTCCTAAAACATTAGCACGGAACTCGTAACATCAGGGTTTAACGACTGGATATCAACTCTCGAAACTGATAGACCTCGAAGCATGGCGAATTTAGAATAACTTGTGTGCAATCATACGACGTAGTTGCCAAGAAACACCCTATATTATCGAAGAAACGAAAATCAAATCATATTTATCGCATATACTTTACAACCATCTCATATAAAAAATAAAAATATACCTCGTCGAACAATTATCTTCGCAAAACGAATGATGCAAATAATGACATCTTGTTTACATCCACCCAACTCACGAAGAAAAGTTTCAGCATAATCACCTTTCAAAACATGATAAATGTCGGTTCCTAAAGTTTCCCATCAAACAAATAACAGTCTGAGTTAAACTTAAAAATTCATTTTTTAAATTCTATTAACATAAAATAGATTACCTTTCGTTTTCGAGATCAAATCTTATTATAGGCTGTCTAGAGTATCCTAAGGATCCAATTCTATCGTGAGAGTTTCCAACGTTGACAACCTTACCGATTAGATCTGTTTAAAAAAAAAATGAATATCAAATAATCAATATAGTAACTGCATGAGAAATCGGTAATGAAAAATACACAGAATACTCACCCACACAGTAGTTAAACTCAACAGTCCCATTCATAATATCTTCGAAAACAACGAACAAAAAATAACCATTGATATCTAAAGTATAAGAGCTTGCACATGTTGTATCACTGGTAAGTTGAATCATATAAGGATGTGTACTTGGCTTAAATTCACCAGTAAGAGGCAATAGATTAAAATTTATTAGAAGAACCCAATCACCCTCGTTACATATCCTCGAATACTTATCATAAAATTTATTAGACGAACACATTGTTAGCTTTGCATGCAAATAGACAAACATGCTGAATCTTTTCTAAAGAGATCCAAAAAGTTAATGCTATTATAAAAACCCTAGCAAAATAATCACAGAACCCTAATAGAAAAACTAATGCGTAAATTATGAGAAGTTTGGTTGAAAACGCTCATATTTATACGTCTAAACAATCTAGGGTTTATTTTCTTGTGATAAATACAAAAATGTAATTATTGATCTACATGCGATATTATCTTCCCATGAATTTTGTAGTTATTAATAATAAAAATGTAAAGATTCCATTCTAGATAATAACAAAGAAGTTATGGAATATTCCTTTTTACAAAATATCTAATAAATACAAAATATTTTCAAAAATCGAATTAAAAAAAAAAAAAAAAATCACAGGATTTGAACCTGTGAACTTCGATAAATGGACAAAACACTTAACCAACACAGCTACCATCTCAATCAGCACAAACAACGTATTGGAAGGTATGCATATTTTTTTGTGGGTTTGAAATTTGGGCCAATTTATTCGAGAGAAGAGATTATGGCCCATGCCCTTTTTCTTAAATTAAAGAAGTTTTCCATTTTCAGAGCAACTAATATCGATTTTAATGATTTAAAATTAACTAATTCAACCAATCAAATTATAACAATTATCAACCAATCAAATCATCAAAATTTCATTAATCAAAACGACATCAAAAAGTGTGCGTTAAACCACAGAAGAATTCACTTCGCAAATACTAATATAGATTGGGTGTCTACATTCAGGATATTATGAAGATAGCAAAGGATTGTGGCTCTTCTTTTATGAAGATTAATAGATTAGCAAATAGTAATGCAGATAGCTTAGCAAAGGCAGCTAGAATAGGATCAAAAACTTTGAAATGACATGGACGATGTAAGAACGTTATTATGGAATGAAACAATTAGATGACAAAAAAAAAATATTTAATTAGACTCAACCACGATTTATAACGGGTAAAGTTGAGATCCAGTGTAATCGGGTTGGATATAGTTATTATTTAATATTTAGATAGTTATTTTTGGGTCCATCTCAAAGATCCGACATTGAACCGGTCCCATTGAACCTTTCTTATCTTTCCCTCGTCGATCTCGTTGTAGTGGCACTCGAGCTCTATCTTTTAGATGTTCCCCTCTATTTTTCTCCTTTCCTTTGTCTCTCCACTCAAAACCCTTCTGGCTACAACCGCAAAGAGGTATGGTAGCTTTGGAAGAGCAGAGATGGCTTCGCGAGGAGCAGCAATGGCTTTGGAAGGAACATAGGTGGATTCGGCAGCACAAATCGCTTCAACGTGAGATATCAAAGTCAAACTATATTGTTCTAGTTTAGTCGGTTGGGTTCGGTTTTTAACACAAGCTCAAGTCCAAGCCGAATGTAGAGTGATGTTGTAGGCCTTCCTTGCAAGATAGTGTCTATATATTAGGTGTAATGGACAGAAAAAAAATGAAGAAGAATCTTGTTACATTTGGATCCAAGATAGAAAGATATCAAGTAGGGTATGATCCAAGAGAAACTATGGAATAGAATGGAGAGCTGGTTTCCAACATCACTCGAGGGTAGATAAAGAACAGGGACAACTTTTGACCATTAACTTGACAAGTAGAAGACCCTCTTCGCTTGATAATACTTCAGCAAATGCAGAATATATAGTTTAATATATGACAGAGGAACGTAGAATTTGAAAATATCAGATCCCAGACGAAAATGAGAAAGAAGGAAAAAAATAAAAACAAAATAGGAAAAGTAGAGAATTATATATAACTCCAATAAGATAAATATATATATTTTTTTTTCTTTAGTCAATATAATGTAGGGTTAAGCACAGGAGGAAACTTAAAATATACGAAAACCCTAAACAACAAGCCAAAGCCACTGGCACTTTCTTTCCTTGGGAGATCACTATAGTGCACGATGATGTCAGACCTTCCAGAGGAATTGTTAGAGGAGATACTTTGGCAGGTTCCGGCCATATCTCTGAAACGGTTACGATCTTTTATTCGATGATAAGAGATTCACAAGAAAGCACATTGATAAAGCCGCAAAACAGTCTATGATTCTCATCATGTTGGAAAAGAAACTTTGGATTTGTTCCCTGAACGTCAATCACAAAAGAAGTCCATCTATAGATGTCAAAGGTGAGCTTAGCCTAATCGACCCTCGTTCTAGTTTAGATCAATTCCAGATTTCTAAAGTCTCTCACTGCGACGGGTTACTATTATGCACCAACAAAGACAACACTAGACTCATGGTTTGGAACCCTTGTACTGGCTAAACCAGGTGGATCCAACCTCAAATTCATCACAGATCAAGCGGCTCCTTTACTCTTGGATCCTACCAAGACAAGAAATTTGGCAATAAGAGCTACAAAATATTGAGATACAATTGTTTTAGTCACAAGCCAAGATTCGAAATCTATGAGATTAACTCTAATTCATGGAGGATTCTTAACGTCACTCCTAACTGCCGTTTACTGTATACTAGGCTAAATGCTACTTTTTTTATAGATATTGTATTTTTATTTTCTTAAGTTGAATTCGCCATGTCTCTTGAACATTCTTTTTTGAAGAGTTATGAATTTATACTTCATAAGATGTGGTATTATTGGATGTTTCAAAAGTACCTTACTGGTTTACAAAGTTATTATACTTCATAAGATGTCTATTCCTTACTGGTTTAACAAAGTTTTTTAAATTTTATGATCAAATTACGTTTACTTACATATATAGACTACTCTTGTACAGAAAGGGTAGCTAATAACAGATGTCAAGCATTTGCAAGTGTTATAACAGACCTAATTATCCGATTTTCGATTGTGCATTTGAAAGTGTTATTGATTGTTAAGCATGCGAAAAAAGATCACTCCTAATTATCATATAGTCCATTAGTACCCATCAGGGTCAATTTGTTGTAATCAAAACCTTAGGGGTAACAAGACAAAAAAAATCTTCAAAAAAAACTAGACGGATCTCCTGGAGACAGAAGTTTATTTGGTCTTTTAGTTTTCAATATCTGAAACCTCTTAATGAGAGATTTGGTCTCTTAGTTCAGTGCTCAAGGTGGAACCCATACTCTGTCAAAAGTTGCAGCTTCGATGAATCCACCTTTTGCTCTCTTTTAACAGTCACCATCTGGGAAGTTCCATCCACTATCCATCCCTTCTCAACAACATCTGTGTATACATCCAGCAAAAAAAAAAATATATAACAATTAGACAATCAAAAAGTTAGGACATAGCCAATAAAACACTAAGTTAAGACATGAAACTCTTTTAAAGAATTCTTCAAAAGTAGAGAGAGTAGTATTGTCCCAAAGGATAACTTTTCTTGACAAGTTTTTATATTAGAATGATATCAGAAAGAAATCTACGAGTTTTGATGTGGCAGAAGGAAATTAATCTTTGAAAGCATAAGGAATTGCAGAATGAAGCTTA